TGACAAGAAAGATGAAAAGAGACTTTAACAAGTGTCTGCAGTGACAAGACAAGGGGGAATGTCTTCACACTGACAGAGAGTGGGTTTAAATTGGATATTAGGAGGAAATTCCTCCCTGTGAGGGTGGGGAGGCCCTGGCACAGGCTGCCCAGAGAAGTTGTGGCTGTCCCATCCCTGCAAATGTCCAAGACCAGGCTGGAGCAACCTGGGATAATGGAAGGTGTCCATGGCAGGAGGGTGGAACGAGATGAGCTTTGAGGCCCTTCCAACCCAAACCACTCTGTGATCCTAAGAAGCATCTTCTCACCAGYTTGTGGAAGTTTAAGCAGAATTCCCCAAGTCACCCTTGCTTTGAAGTACTTGCTCAGCAGAGATTACTGAGGTGCCCTCCCCAAACCAGCACCACAACTGAATGCCAGAGTTGTGAAATAATTACTGCTCTGTGAATTTGAGCGGCCACTTGCAGCTCTGCAGCTTTATAAACAGGAAGTGTGAAGCTCTGCATTCATACCTGCTTTCATCATATGACAGAGCCCTGAAGCCATCAAATACTGGCTGACACAACAAGCCTCGCTGTAGAATCTATCTAGACTGTCTCCACAGTGGATTCTATTCATTCTGATAGCTAAAAAAAAAGGCTAAGAGACTTCTAGGCATTTTCATCACATGCCTCTGAAACTCAAGGCTCAGAAAGACACAGGTTTATACCCTCAGAAAACATCAGATCCTGAAGAACCTTCACCTYCCTGTTGTGGTCAAGCACTGCTCTTCAGATAGGAGAGAAAATAAAGCAGAACAATACCCTTCATGGAATACAGAAAAGAAGAGAATAAACCACTAAAATGGTTCTCTGATCATTTTTCCTGAAAACACATTTGGGATTTAAAAAGTTAATTTCATAATCTGGAGTAATAAAATGCAGTTTTCCATGGGCTCAAGGGCTGAGTCCATGGATTTGTCACCAGGCTGAGACTGACAGTTTCAAACAGATGATTATATATTTGCACAAGTTTTCCATCATCCTTTTGTCAGATTTATTATATCTGTACGCTTGAGGATGTTAATGATCAGACACCAGATATATTTGCCTTGATTTAAATAAAACAAATGTAGCTATTTTTCAAATTCAATCAAGACACAAAAGGTCATTAGCAAGATTTATCCTCTGCCCATCACACARCATTAGTCATTAGTGGCACACACTAACCAACCTTCTTGTGGAGCAAAGCAGGTTTTTGTAACTTTGACAGGCTTGGTGTTCTCCATCTCAGAGACACACAACCAGGAAAGAAATCTGCCTTTAAAACCACAATTCCAGAGGCAAAAGCCATGCAATTGATACACCTGCAAGTTTTTCCTCCCTATTAGCTGGCATTTATGTGCATGCACATATTCCAACAACAGAGCTATTTCTGTGCTTTCATGTTGCTCTTTTTCTCAGAGATCACTGCACRAGAGCAAACACAATGAAATGGATTTATCAGCAGTCACTCATTTCTCCAAACTCTAAACTCASTGACCATTGTTGGTGTTGTGGCAGCTCCCCTTCTTCCACTCTGCACGCGTGAAACAAAAATTTTACCTTGCTTTGAGCAGAAGAAAAATTCTTCCTTCCTCTCTGGTCCAAATKTGACTGATCCATGATTATTCACTGCCATTTCTTTCAAGCAGCCTGACTCAATATTTAGCATAGATAATTTAGCTGGAAATGGCCCTGAATTACACCTGCTCTAAGCAGCAYTCACAGAAACTTTGACTACAGATTCTAGAGTTTCATAACTCACAAGWACCTACATCAACTAATGCTCAGTCTACGATTATCCTCTCAAAGCTACTGAAGCAAAACACATTAACAGCTACTGGAAAACACAGTCCTCAAAGATCTGAAATAAACTGCCCATCAATACCACGAAGCCTTCTCTTTCCTAGAATTCTTATTAAAATTTTCCATGTACAACACAGCACAGTGCAGGAGCTGGTGTGCTGGGGCTAATATAATAGTGATAAGAAGTTCTTCCTTTTATAAAGTTTTATTGGCCCAACGGCAGCCCTTTAAGGAATTGGGTGTCAAGCCTGGCAGCAGAACAACTAAAAGATAAGGCAGGCTTTACAGCACCATCTTGGCATAAGGCAAGGCCTAACACTGGGAAATTCTGAGGACAGAGCACCCAGACAGCCTGATGGACACAGAAGCAGGAGTTGGAAATCAAAGGCAGCACACCAAAACAGGACACTGACTGACTTGCAGCACTGCCCTAGGAAGAAAATTGCTGCTGGAGCTTAGGTCTAAGAAAAAAGCAACAAGCTCAAGAGCCACAGTAGCAGTTTATGCCATCACAAATTTAGTTTGATAAAATAACTGACAATTTTATGCTCAGTTTGGAACAAAGCACTTCTYACTTCACCTCTAATGACCTGCCCAAGAATTTCATCTCCTCACAAAGAATCCATCRTCAGAAGGAGGTCTGTGGGGTCAGGAATAGCTCTCCTCAGTTCTCCCCTCATACCTTTACCACAGCAAMACTCCTCTGTGCCTCTGGCAACTATAAATAAATGACCACAATTGGCAAAATTCATAAAAAGAGATGTCTAAAATAGCATCCCTTGCTTCCCATTCTCAAGCAGACACAGATATCAGGGAGGCTGATGAGGCTCCCCGTGACCTGCACTGGTGGACACAGGACAACTTCACTGTGCCCATCCACACGGCCACGTCACCACAGCAGTGTCAGCTGCCTGTGCCAAGGAGCAGAAGAAAATAAAACAGCAGGACTGTCTCCTGTTCCAGGGTGGARAGGGCCATCAGCACCAGGCAGCTCTGGCTCCCACATCTCTTTGAACAGAAGTTACATTTTAGCTACAGTTATTTATATTGTGAGCCTTTAACCACAACTCCCCTCACCTTCACAACCTTTGGCTACTACCAAAATGGAATTGCAAGAAATGAAATTGCTTCAAAGTCAGCCTTATTTTTTTAAGCTTACAGAAGCAGCATTTTTCCCAGATATTCTGAACAACTGAAATTAAAATTGGTGACTCAAAAACACCATCACAGYATTCTGAATGATTACCACAAGTACAGGTAACCACTAGTGATTACTCATGAAGAACTCCCAGCTGAAAAATTAGTACAATATCACCTAACACAAAATTTTCTCGGCCTTTAACAACCAGGAAACTACGTTAGAGAAGGTGGATCTAATTGGAGATAAATATATTTGGCTTTCTTTTTTAATGTTTGCATTTATCTATTATCTCTGTTTGTGTCCACAGAAATGCCACAAGTACCAGCAAGGTTCTGTGGAAGTAAGAATGGTCTAACAAATAATGTTTTGATAACTAGCCAGTTTTATACATACTGTGATTCACTGGTTAAGTAAACAACATAGTTATTTAGCAAAACATCAATTTATAACAGAGTGCCTAAAACAACCTTTCTGGTCTCCTACAGAAAAACAGTATTGGATGCCTCACATAGAGAAGAATAACATTAAAAAAAAAACCCCAAAGAAAAATATTATATTCACTGCGCAGAAATAATTTCAAAGAACTTTTTAAGAGATCAATCTTACTATTTATCAAGCATCCATCTCAACTTCCTTGATTCTGATTTTGAGCAATATAAGAGTTTAAATCTAACTTTAAAATTCAAAACACTCGTTTTTTCTTATTTAGGAACTTTAGAATACACATCGTGACCAAATGACTGTATTTTCCACCAAACAGCTTATTTCGAACRCTTTCTGATATATTTAACTTCACACCTCTACCAAGCTACATTTATAACTGTAGCTCTTCTAAAAATACGTGCACCAAAGCTTTCAAAGACTTCCTATACTTTCACTAGCAGTGAAAATTCTTCAGGGCTGTTATGTTTAAAATATGTAACGCAAGTGACTTTGAATCATACATTTGTTTCTCCTGCTCGACACTACGTTGCTCCATTTCCTATCTGACATGGCATCCCTCAGAGGCTCCACCAAGAAAAAAAAATAAAAAAAAAGAGAAAATACTTAACAAAAATCCYATTTCACATCAATTTGTTTCTCTTTCAGTTAACACCCAGTGGTTCCCTCCCAGTTCTCCCTTATCACTCCTGACATGCCTCTCACATGTAAGCAGGAATAAAAAGGGCAGCCATAGATTGGCTTGAGCTTATGAATTTTATCAGAGCTTTAAATATCAAACAGGTGAGCTGCTTTACCTGCACTGCATCACGTGAATGCACAATAGGGCAACATTTACAAACACCTGTCCAACCTGCAAACCATTTACTGCTGAAAATTCCTGTCCCTCTTTGTCCTTGGACTTGGCTATCAGTTCCAGAGCCAGGGAGCTGCCAGGGTGTAGCTTGCTGTCGCCTTGGAGCCCTGCAGCTGCAAGCATTCACCATTCAGCTTGTTTATGTTTTCCCTTCGCTAGTTCCTCTTTAAAATCCTCCGGGAAGACCCTAAAACCGGGCTAAAACAGCGACATCAATCCCGAAAACCACGCACGCCACATCCATCTTTCCATGCGGAGCTGCAGATGCGTGATCCCCGAGCACGGGGAAGTAAACACGAGGAGCGGCAGGGATGGCAGAGCCGGGAGCTGACAGCCCTGTCACACCGGGAGGGCAGCATTTCCCGATTTCTCCAGGCTGCCCGCCSAAGAGCCGGCCAGCCACGGGCGAAGGCCGGGCCGCGGGCGGCGGGAGGGGAACGGCACCGGCGGCGGGGACGGGGCCCTGCCGGRGCCGCGTTAAATAAGGCGAGAGAGACACATAAATAAATAGATAAGATAAATAAATAAATAACGGGGTGGGGGGCGAAAAGGGGAGGGTAAAGGAGCTCGAGGGAGCGCCCGAGCGCCGCAAGTGCCTCCGCGCGGGGTCCGTCATGGTGGTGCCGCCTCACCGCCCGCTGGCGGGGGACACCGAGGGGAGCCCCCCCCCCCACGCCACCCAACCCCGCCAACCTCCACCTCCGCCCAACCCTCCGCTCTCCCCGCCGCCCCCTCACCCCTCCGCAGGGCCTCGTCGTAGCCGAGGAAGCCGATGCGGGACTCCTTGGCGCCCATGGTGCCGCTCAGTCCATGGCCGCGGCGGCGCCCGCCGG